GACCCCCCTCAGTGAGCTCAGCCTTCGCCCACCTGGTACCTTCAGGTCCTCTTCACCCAGGGTCACACACCCCGACCCCCCTCAGCAAGCTCAGCTGTCACCCGCCTGGTACCTCCTGCGTCCACTTCGCTGTGCTCCTCTCTGTCCTTCAGGCTCTGCGCACTCAGGTCAGCCACGATGCCACCGCTGTGCTTCTTCCCTTCCTCATCCCCTGACTCCTCGGATTCCACTCGCCTGTCAACTGAAGCCACACACAGAGTGAGGAGTCATGCCCACTTCACGTGAACATTTGGGGGACACAGGACAGACTCACACCTGGTCCTCAGACAAAGGAACTTCCTGCAGAACAGTCTATCCAGTTCAGGACTGTGAGCATGAGAGTCTTCCATGTCCATGTCCCAGCCCCAGCTGGACCTCCAGTGGCAGGGCAAGCTGCGGGTGGGGGCTATGGACACGAAGCTGAGTACCCATGGTAACACACGAGGGCTCCTTCTGTGTCTCCAGCACTGCGCTTGGGTGCCCACTGCAGAGGAGACCCTTGTGGACCCTGCGTACAACCTCTATCTGGCTCCACTATCCATGCGGCCCCGGCAAAGCAAACTGGTCCAGTTCACAGGTTCAAGTTCTGAAAGCAGTCGAGACTGACTCAAATCCGACTGTGGACAGGTGAGAGCTCTGGTGAGGAGGGAGAATGCAGCCAAGAGACTGAGAAGCTGTGACGGTCACTGATGCTGATGCCAGTGGACACAGGACACCAGCTCAAAGCTTCCAGAGGCTGGCACATAAATGTTTTTGAATTACTGAATAAAGCATGTGCCTTCCAAAGGAGCTCTGGTGGCGCAGTGGTTAAACCCCTTGGCTACTAATTGAAAGGTTGGTGGTTTGAACCCACCAGCCACTAAATCAAGAGAAAGATGTGGCAGTCTGCTTCTGTGAAGATTTACAGCCTTGGAAACCCCATGCGGCGGTTCTCCTCTGTCCTATAGGGTCGCTATGAGTTGGAATCAACTTGATGGAAATGGGGTTTAAGGCCCTCCATGGCCTTCCCTTGCTAGCCCCGCCTGCTACTCCCCACCCTCATCATGCCTGACTGTCACCCTGAGTCACACTCTCCTCCAAACAGGTCACGTTCTTTCACACCCGTTTGCCTTTGGCTTCCTTCTTTCTTCTCCATCTTATCCTCAGCCTTCAAGGTCCAAGGTCCATCTCTGAGTTGACCTTGGCTGTGAAGCCTTCACCATTCCCAGACACACCAGCCGGGCCCTTCCCTCTGCGCTCCCCAATCCCACAGGTCTGCTTCCCTCTTCCCTAGCACTTACCACTTGGGATAGTGATTGCATACCCCACCCCACAACCCACCAAAACCAAAAGCTTACAAGCACTCAAAGACATGACTGACTCCCCAACTGTGTGTGTGTGTGTGTGTGTGTGTGTGTGTGTGTGTGTGTGTGTGTGTGTGTGTGTACGTGTGTGTACGTGTGTGTACATAAAAACCATATTTTCCAGCAAAATCAAAAGGGAGGAAGAAAGTTGAATTTAGTCTTTTCGGAACTACGAAAGCCTTGAGAACAAACACTGCCTTCTAAAACTCAATCTTCTGACTCCTCGGCTCCTTGTCGTCCCTTCCCCACAATCCACTCGCTTGCAAGAGAGGACCCTTCTCCATCCAGTCACGTTAACAAACGAGCAGACTCCGGCAGGTCACACAGCCCCGAGCCTCGGTTTCTTCGCTAGCAAACGCGGACCGCTCCCCGCCTGTCAATCTCCGACCAGACAGTGAACCACCGCGTTCCGCTCCATCCCCACCCACCGGCCCCAGGCTCTCGCCGCCGCTCTCCCGCGGGCCTGCCCCGCGCTGCCACCCCCGGGCCGCGGCTCTCCCGGGGCCGGAGCCTCCCCGCTCTAACGAGCCCGCCGGCAGCTGTCAGGGGCCCCGCGGCCGTGGCCGGAAGCGGGACGCCGAGTTCCTCTCAGGTAAGGGGCAATGCCGGCTCTTCGCTGCCTCCCACCCCCTGGGGCCGCTCACCCTCCATCATCTCCTGCGACTGTTGCTGCCCTGAGCCGCGTTCCGCCGCCATGTTGGCTACTCTTTCCCTTTCCGGAATCTGTCGCCTCAGAGGCTTCAGCCAATCAGGGCTCCCGGCGCGAGGCCGCCCAGCCAGTGGGAGCCCGGCGCCTCGGCTCGCGCCCTGACGCGCCTGCGCAGCCCTGGAGCCTCATGGAAATTGTAGTTCCTCCAAGGGGCCGAGTCCGCTCTCGCCCCCAGCCTCTCATGGGAGTTGTAGTTCCAGCGAGAGGCCGAGCTTGTCCCGGGCCGGGAGCCGCTAGCCTCACCTTCCCCGAGGTAGGTAACTGAAGCGGGCCGCGTCGGAAGGAGCCGAGAGGCGAGGAGCTGGAAAAGGAGGGTAGCCGTGGCTGCAGGCGAACGGAGAGGGCGTCCAGGTAGTTTGGAGAGAAGAATCTGGGACATGCTCCGGGCTCGTGGGCTCGCTTATGTCACTGTCACGACCACCGACGCGTAGAGGGGCCACGGCCCAGACCGAGCGCATCTCCTCGTGGGGTTGCACAGCGCAGTCCGGCCCCCGGCGGCTCCGAGCCTCGTTGGCCGCATCTGTAGAATGGGCCGAGCGGCAGGAGGACAACTTTCTCTCGGCGTTGGGAGCGCGTGCGAAGGGGTCGCCTCTTGTTAACGCAGGGCGCTGGGCAGGTGGACAGGTGCGGAGGAGCCAGTCGGGCTGGCAGGCCGACCCCGGGCGGTCGTCCCCAACCCAGCTTCTGTCTCCTCTCGGGCCCGCCGGCTTTAAGGTCCAGAGGGCGTGCGCGGCAGAGGCTCCGTCGCGCTCCCCGGCCCGTGAGGGAGCCGCCCCCGCGCCCCGTCTTTGGGACGAGGTCGCCGAGAGGGCGAGCTCCGTACCGCTCATCCTTGGGCACCAGGAGACCAGAGAAAACGGCGTCCTCTGACCGGGTTGCCGGACGCGCTGCGCCTCTTTTGGCCTCTCCGCAATGCCGTAGAGGGCGTCCGGTGCTTCCCTTAGCAACCATTAGCGCGGGCTTTAGGCGCGGGCCCGCTGAGTCCCGCCCCCATGCACCACTGATTGGCCCGCGCCGCCTGTCAATCGGCGCGAGGCCGTCAGCTATTAGCCGGTGGGGCTAGACGCGGGTCCGCTGACTCCCGCGGTGTGAAGCGAGCTTAGTGGCGGCGACCCTCCTGGTCCAGGTGAGAACCTGCTCCGACAGGGCCGGCCCAGGGGCTCGAGGTGCGGAGGGGCCACTTCGGTGTTGCGCCTGCCGCTCGCCGCCCCCCCCCCCCGGCTCTCCGACGAGCGCCCCCAGGCCAGCGCCCCCGACCCTGAGCCCACTGCGAGGGGCTCCGTCCTCGGATCGCAGCGGTTTGCTCGCCGCCCCGCGCCGTCCACCCGGCGCCCCCCCCCACCCGCCGCCTCGGCCGGGAGGAGCGCGTCTTCGGAGCGCCCTCATTGTCACCTCCTCCCCGGCCCCATCGGGGCGCCACTCGGGAGCTCCATCTTTTCACCTCGTCTTAGTGGCGTGTGTAATCCGTTTAATCGCCTTCCCTCCCCTGGAAGGTGAGCGCAGAGGACAGCGCCGGCCAGGAGGAGCCTCCCAGTAAATGCTGGGGGAGAGCGAGTGCCCACTGCCGCCTCTCCAGGCGGTGCCCCTCACACACCCGGCCTTTACCCCAATCGTCTCTTCTCCAACTCTTCTTTTCCTGAGAATGGCAACTGCGGAGCTGAACACTTGTACTCCTGATGCCTTTCTTTCCCTGACCTTCCACATCTCATCATCAATCAATCAGCCAGTCTGTCCATTTCTTTCTTCCTGGTACCCTTCTCTCCATCTGTCTGCCATTGCCTTAATTTAGGACTTTATAATTTCTTGCCTGGGTTACTGTAAGCTTTCTCCTTGTCCCCAGCCTTGTCCTTGCATTCTCCCTGGAGTGATCTTTGTGAAATGCGTATTTGGTTGTGTTACTGCCAAGCATTGTTATTAGCTGCCATCAAGTCGATTCCGTCTCATGGAGACCCCACATGTGCAGAGTAGAACTGCTGTACAGGATTTTCAAGGCTATGATCTTTTGGAAGCAGATGGCCAGACCTTTCTTCCTAGGTACCTGTGGGTATGTTTGAACCACCAGCCTTTTGGCTAGTAGTTGAGCACTTAATTGTTTGCACCACCCAGGGACCTTTAAAAGGAACCTCAGTGTACAGTCCAGACTGCCTGGGCTGCTCTAGGCTTGTTGTGGATTGAATTGCGTCCCCTAAAAATAATCTGTCAACTTGGCTGGGTCATGATTCTCAGTGTTGTATGATTGTCTACCGTTTTATCATCTGATGTGATTTCCCTATGTGTTGTAAATGCTTTCACTGTGATGTAATAAGATGGATTAGTGACAGTTATACTGATGGGGTCTAGAAGATTAGGTAATGTCTTAAGCCAATCTCTTTTGAGATGTAAAAGAGAGAAGTGAGCAGAGACACATGGGGACCTCATATCACCAAGAAAGCAGTGCCAGGAACAGAGTGTGTCCTTTGGACCTGCGGTTCCTGCACAGGGAAGTTCTAGTCCGGGGGAAGACTGATGCATCACAAGGACCTTTCTCCAGAGCCAACAGAGAAAACCTTCTCCTGGAGCTGATGCCCTAAATTTGGACTTGTACCCTACTGGACTGTGAGAATAAATTTCTCTCTGTTAAAGCCATTCACTTGTGGTATTTCTGTTATAGCAGCACTAGATGCCTCCTCTCCTGTCTACTGAACTCCTCCTCAAGGACACTGAGGAGGGTTGAATATATTGGTGCCCCTGCCTGCAAGGCCTCCTCACTCCCCTCTGCCTGGTTCGGCTCAGCCTGTGCCTCCGCCAGGTGCCCCCCAGTGTCCGTCCTCTGTCCTAGGAGCCGTCATCCTGCTTATTTGTCAGGATGCTTTGCTGCAAGAAACAGAGACACAGACTCAGAATGGCTCTAGAGTGAGGAGAGGTATCTGCCCCAAACCTGCAAGTCCAGGGAAGGCGGCTTTGGGGCGGGCTGTTACTGGACCTCAGAGATTTCCAGGATCCACGCCCTTGCCATTTTCTGCTCATCGTCGGTGTGTTGGCTTCTTCTGGAGGCTGGTTCCGCTCTGCTGCACAGCAGGGATGGGAGCGCTGGAGCTGTGGGCTTCCTAGCTTAGGTTTAGTGGGAGAGACGGCTGCTTCCACAGGTTCACCCAGAGAAGCAAGGAGTACTTTCCCGGAAGCTCCCCACAAACCTCTGCTTCTCCTGAGTGGGGTCACTTGTTCCTTTGGAATCGTGACGAGCTAGGGAAATAGAATTACGCTGAGGCTTCACCAGGTACTTGCTGGGCTGGGCTTCCCTTGGCCAATGCTGACACCAAAAGCTGTTCTAAAAACCTAGGCCTGGACTTGCTGGCATTTCTGGCTAGTATTCGAGTCAAAATTAAACCTGTGGAAAATGCAGTGACCCCTAAAGTTGTCTGCAGCCAGGCCTTGTGTTCTCTGGCAGGCTAGACAACGTGGCTTGTTGTCGGTGAGCCTGGAGCCTCTCTCAGGGGCTGCTGAGGCATCTGCTCCCTGGGTGTGGATCTGGGGTGTGGGTGTGTGTCGTCACAGACCTCAACAGCATAGAAGGATGCCTCTCCCCCTCCCACCCGTAGACCGTCAGTGTCTCGACTGTCTTCGCTGGATACCACTGAAACTTTCAGTAACGTCATTAAGCATGAACTTCTTGATTCATCAACTTTAGACAGTATTTATTGCTTCCTCCCGTGAAAAACAGAACGATTTGTGTCCTTATCCTCCCTTCAGTTTTCCTTCCCTCCCGTCCCATTTTTTGGATATGTTGGTTTTACAAAGTAAAACTAGTATTTACAATGTGTGGTGAAGAGTTATATTATCTTTACAAAGTTTTATGACATTTACAATGTATCTTAGAAAGTTATTCTTTTTTACTAAGTAAAGCTTTGTAACATATACAGTACCATTTGCATTCTGAAGCTATAATTAAGCTTTCTGTGCTTTGGATATAGGTTGGTTCTACAAGTAGAAAACCAAATATTTGCAGTATGGTCTTGTCGTCGTTTATTATAGGAATAGTTTGTGCATTTAGATGCTTAGAGAAGGAAATATAAACCTATGACATTTAAATGTTTCTTCTTGAAGTGAAGCAACACTTCCAAATCGTTTATTATTTATTTCTAGCGTCCTCCACATCTTTTGTTTCATACTCAGGGGTCACATTCCAGGATCTCATGCTGGATGTGTTTATGCTGTGTATAAAACATGTTGTTTCTTTAGTATACACTAATTGATTCATACCAGAGAAAAAACTGTGTTGTTAGCCATGAATCATAACAAGAAAATACACGCATTTACACCCCGCCCCCACCCTCCGAAAGGACCAGGGAGACTGCTGTGCCACGTGCTTCTCCCCTTTCAGCCCCTGCCTGGCCTCCAAGAAAATGTCCTGCCCATAGTTCATGTCAATCAGTCTCTTGTTTAAGAAATAGTTTTATCACATATGTATGTATCCCTAAACTGCAGATTTAGATGTTTTCGGATTTTACAAATAGGGAGTCCTGCTATCGATAGTCTTTGGCATGGATTTTTCTCCTCGTTGCTCTGGTTTATGTGTACTGGCGTGTGTAGCGCACTTGTTTGCACTGCTGTAATTTATGGTGTGAACATACCAGAATTTCACGTTTTCTTGTTGATGAGTGGTGTTTTTTTTTTGGGCCACTGCAATCCATACCACCCTGAACATTTTTGCCCGTGTGTCTTCCTACGTGAACACGAAGAATTCCTTTAGAATGTAAACCTACAAGTGGGAAATGCTGGGTCAGAGTTGTTGGTTTGTTGTTAGGTGCCGTTGAGTCGATTCCGACTCAGCGACCCCACGTACAACACAATGAAACGCTGCCTGGTCCTGCACCATCCTCCGATTGTTACGCTTGAGCCCATTGTTACAGCCACTGTATCAATCCGTCTCGTTGAGGGTCTTCCTCTGTTTCACTGACCCTCTACTTTACCAAGCATGATGTCCTCCAGGTAGTGATCCTTCCTTAGATGTCTCACCATCCTTGCTTCTAGGGAGCATTCTGGTTTTACTTCTTCCAAGAGAGATTGGTTCGTTCTCTTGGCAGTCCATGGTACATTCAGTATTCTTCGCCAACACTACAACTCCAAGGCGTCAGTTCTTCTTCAGTCTTCCGTATTCATCCTCCAGCTTTCGCATGCATATGAGGCAATTGAAAACACCATGGCTTGGGCCAGGGGCATCTTAGTCTTCAAGGTGCCGTCTTTGCTTTTTAACACTTTAAAGAGGTTTTTTGCAGCAGATTTGCCCAATGCAGTGCGTCTTTTCATTTCTTGACTGCTGCTTCCATGGGTGTTGATTGTGGACCCAAGTAAAATGAAATCCTTAACAACTTCAGTCTCTTCTTCATTTATCGTGGGTCAGAGTAGGTATTTAATTTAAATTGTTTTTTTAGAGAGATCATATCAACCTTTAGAGGCCCCGTTGACCCACATCCTCATCCTTTGGTATTGTTAGACTTCCAAATTTTTGCTGATTTAGTTTGGTTTTCCGTCTGTTCCTTCTCTCTTTCTGCCTTCCTGCACGTTTCTCTGGAAGTGCATCTTCTAGCTCGACTTTGGTCTGACTGCCCTTGTGTCGGGGTCCCAGCCAGGACGGCAGTGGGGGTGTGTGCCTTGGGGGCCAAGCTGAGGTGTGTGTTGTGAACGATTGGGTGGCTGAGCCGCCTTCGTGTCCCTGTGTTCCCGATGCTGACGAGGCCCCTTCTGTTTCCTAGCCGACGCCTTGTAGAGGTGGGTCCCGTGACCACTCAGTGTCATCTGATGGAGGCCAGAGGCTTGGCAGCCGTAGAGGACGAGTGGAGGTGCCTGTCGGGGAGCCTCCCCTTGCCGTCACCGATGGAGATCCCGGCCACACAGGGCGCGTCCACACCCAGCAAGTCCTTCTCCTCGGCCCACAGACACCTGAGCAGGAAGCATGGGCTCTCCAAGCTCTGCCAGAGCAGGACAGCACTCTCTGGTAACAGCCCCCATCTGGGAGTCCTTGGCTCTTTTTTCTCTCTTTGTTAACGAGGCAGCCACAGTTAACCCCTTCTCGCTGAGAGGGTGTCTTTTCCAGACTCGGTATGCACTGCTAGGGGTGCCAAGGAGCCCTTCCCTGTGGCTTCCTTCGTTTGGTGGGACGCTGGGCCGGGCCCCCCTTTCTAGGCCGGGGCTGGAATTCCCTCCACAGCTTGAGGTCAAGTTAGAGCGAAGGCCATTTGCTACTTCACAGTGCATGAGCCCCCCGCCTGGGCCATGCCACGCCACACCTGAGGCAGAGCTGAGTAGGACGGGGGTGACCATGAGGGCGGCAGCCTCCTGGTGCAGTGGGTGGTCTCCCCGGGGGGGTCCGAGGACTGTGGGTGTCCACCTGTCATCCAGTTGTGCACTGACCTCTCCTGGAGTCAGTCAGTGCCCCCTGAGTCCCAGGCTCCTCAGGCCCCGACCACGTGAGGGAGCAGTGTCACTCTGCCTGTGAGGGAGCCCCCTGCCCCCCGTGTGCCCTGACAGTCCTGGGGAGCTTGAGTAGACAACAGGGTGCATGCTGGAAGTCGGGGTGACCTGGGAACCTGGCCTGGAGTGGAAAGCAGGCCAGCAGAGGGGGAGTGCGGGCCCAGTCTCGGGGAGGACAAGCAGGCGACAGAGGAGGAGGGTTGTTTGGGTGGGCGTCCAGAGCAGTGGGGCCCCATGGAGACCAGAGGAGCTGCCTAAGGCCGGGCTGGGCTGGGCTGTGTGGCTGGCAGGCAGGCCCTGGTTTCACCTGGCGCCAGCCCAGGGATGTCTCGGGGCTGAGTGTGGGCACAATAGTTCTGTTTCATGAGGAGCAGAGGTAAGAGCTGGAGTTGTGCTTGTTCCGAGGGGCGAGGAGGGCTGAGAAGGTGACTGGCTGCCTGAGACAGGGGAGAGTAGCCTCTGGATGCCGTGCAGTTTCTGGTTCCAGAGAAAAGTCTGGGTGAGGCCACCACTGAGAAGTCAGGGAGCCCAGACAATGGGCCCAGCCGCGCTCGGAGGCTGGTCCAATTTCTTTGAGTGAAAGATCGTGTCCTGGGCTTCCACACTGCCACGTACAGGCCAGCACCCCACCACCCTCTAACCCGGTGTTCACTCACGGCAGCCAGCTCCCTGGTGGTGTCATTCTCCTCCATTCCATTCTCTCTGGGACCCCATTTTCTGATAATGCCAAAGAAATAGGTGGTGTCTAAACAAACAAACAAACAAAAAAAAAACCAAACTCATTGCTGTCGAGTCAATTCCAAATAAGCAACCTTATAGGACAGAGTAGAACTGCCCCGTAGGGTTTCCAAGGAGAGGTGGTGGATTCAAACTGCTGACCTCTTGGTTAGCAGCCAGGCTTTGAACCACTGTGCCACCAGGGCTCCAGGTGGTATCTAGTCATGCCTAAAAACAAAAGTTATTTCAGTTTTGATCTAATGCAGGGTTGGCAAGCAGCAGCCCACAGGGTCGTATCCGGCCCTCTGCTTGCTTTTTGCATGTAAAGTTTTATTGGCACACAGCCACACTCGTTTGTTTGCACATTGTCTGTGGCTGCTTTCATACTACCATGCAGAGCATGTCCCGCCTGCAAAGCCCAAAATGCTGTCTGGCCCTTTACGGGAAATGTGTGCCATCCCCTGATTTGGTCCCAGGCTCCCCTCGGCCCCCTCACCTTCGCATGTGGAGAACGTTCTCCTGAAGTCTGAGGACAGGCCCTGAGGGACACACGTCTGGCTCTGTGGCAGAGCACTAGTGCTGAAGTCAGGGTGACAGCTGTGTGACGGCGTGTCCCCCGACCTGCGTGCCTCAGTTGCCTCCTCTGTCTAGCAGTGTTGTTGCTGGCAGAGGGGACAGCGAGGTGGGTAGGAGCAGGGGCTGACGTGGAACAATGAACGCGTAGACAGGCTGTAGTTACGGGGGTGGTGAGTCAGCAGAGGCTGCGAGGGGCAGAGAGGCGGTGTGAGAGGCTGTGAGACGGGCAGGCAGGAAGCTTCTGGAAGGGGCTGGCTAGCGCTCTCCTGTGCAAGCACAGCACGTGGACTAACGCTGCTGCCGGGGGCAGGGGGCCAGGGGGGCGGGGCCCTCTGCTCATTCCAGGCCTCCTGCGTTTTTCCTCATTAAGGATGGCCAGGGGAAGGAGTCTAAGCGCTCCAGAGCAAACCCCGCGCTGTGCCTGTGGTTTGCATGCATCCCTTGGCACTGGTCACTGTTCTTGAGTGGGGACGGTCCCACTTTAGGCAGGCGTGTTTGATTACCGGGAGAAGACGCTTGTGCAAGTGCTCGGGTCACGGGCTGGGAGGGGCTGTGCACACGATGTGTGGTTCTGTGTACGTGTGTGCACACGTGTGTGCATGTACATTCACGTGTGTACCTGACCAGGTGTGCACATGTATATGTGCGTGTGTGTGCGTGTGTATGTGCGCGTGTGCATTGTGCGTGTATGCGTGTACGTGTCCAGGAGCCCAGGAAGGCCCGGGGGAGGAGGCAGTGGGCCCCAGAGAGTGATTCCGGGCCTGAAGCAGCTGGGACTTCAGCAGCCTTAGCCACGGAGTCCCTCTCGGGCCCTGCTCCGGCATTGCCCTGCGCCAACCCCATCCCACCTCTCCCCTGTCCTCTGGGCAGGGCTCCCTCCCTCCAGTGCCGCACTGCTTCCGCCTCCTCCTGCTCCCCGACTCGAGCACCTACTGTGTGGCTGGGTGCTGTCCCTGTGCCACAGACACAGCCCTGAAAAACAGTCCTCTCTCGTCATCCTTACATTTCTCAAGGAGCCGGGAGGCAGTGGAAATACACACACACACACTCACGCGTACATACACTTCTGCACGTGCATGCATCCGCATGGCCGTATGACTGGGGGGATGGAGGAGCACCAGGAAGGTGAAGGGCAGAAGCAGAGACGACAGGAGGTAGGTGCTACCTGAGATCGCCTGGTCCGGGAAGGTGGCATTTGAGCCAAACCCAGCGTGTCCAGGGGAAGGGGCAGCAGCCACCAATGTCCTGAGGTGGGAGGGGTGAGGCCGTGGAGAGCACAGAGGCCGGTGTAGCTAGAGCCGAGTGAGCTCGGGAGGTGGAGGGCAGGGCAGGTCCCAGGGCCCGGGGGGGAAGATGAGGTCAGAGCTGACTGTGAGGCTTCGTGTCATGAGAGGAAGTGTGGCTTTGCTTCTGGAGTGATGGGTGAGGAACAGAGAGGTGGGAATGAGGGGGTTGTGGGGGTGGAGCAGCCAGTAGCTATTGAATTGTGGACGTCTTCAAATAACAAGCAGGGGGCAGCAGCTGGAGGGACAGGAGCGAGGGACGCAGAAACCGCTCTTGGGCCGTCTGTGCATCTGGGAGGACGTGGCTGTCTGGTTGTCCCAGTGGGCTCCAGGCTGTCTGCAGACACACAGATAGGATGTAGCCAGCTCTGCTGATGAACTGAACCCTCTTGTGGGTGTCTGGGCATTGGGGGTCAGGGCTGTGGGCACTCAGAAGTGAGCCCCTGGTGACTGTGAGGCTGACGCCGCCTGTGCTCTCCCCAGAGGACAGGTGGAACTCCTACTGCCTGTCGTCGCTGGCTGCCCAGAACATCTGCGCCGGCAAGCTGCACTGCCCCGGGCTGCCTGAGCTCTCTGACCCGGCCACCACCCTGGGCAGCCCCTCCTGCTGCTCCCTGCTCCGGGGCCTGCCCTCGGGCCTGTCAGCGCCCCTGCTCCCGGCCCCCGTCTGCAACCCCAACAAGGCCATCTTCACCGTGGACGCCAAGACCACTGAGGTGTGTGTATGGGCACGGGCTTTGGGCCTGTGACCCCGCAGAGGCGTTTTGTGCTTTAGTGCGGTTGGAGGGCTGTCTGTTTTTGCCCGTATGGTCACAAAAGCCATGGGGACTTGGAGCCCTAAATATGAATGGGTGAAAAAATAGAATCATTTTGTGAAGATAGAGACACAAGGGAAGGGATGAGGTAAATACTCGAGCTTGTTGGCTTGACTGAGATGAGAAAGGATAGTCAGTGTTGGCGTGAGGTGCATCGTTATACAGACACCTGAGATCCCTGAACGGGAGCCTCTGCTGTGAGTCCCGTTTGTTCTCTGTGGTCTCGGCTGTGCGGTGGTGGAAGAGGTTGGCGTTTCAGTCCTACCGCCATCGGACACCCTGACCGTGGATGGATCCTCTGGTTTGAGTGCCCTCCAGATGCTCAGAGGTGCCTGAGTGCCGGTCGTGACTATAGTACACTTTAGAGGCCCCTCTGGGAGGCCTTGTCCGCACAGCCCGCTGGCCCCACGTCCTCCTCAGCCCCTCTGGCTCTGAGGTTGCAGGAACTGCTTATGATGCCTCCGCCTCTCTCCTCTGCGGCCCCTTAGATCCTGGTAGCCAACGACAAGGCCTGTGAGCTCCTCGGGTACAGCAGCCATGACCTGATTGGCCAGAAGCTCACACAGTTCTTCCTGAAGTCGGACTCTAACGTGGTAGAGGCCCTCAGCGAGGAGCACGTGGAGGCCGACGGCTGCGCTGCTGTGGTGTTGGGGACAGTGGTGAGTGGGCCACAAGTTCGAGGGCCTCAAGGCAGGCGTAGGAATGCCCAGTGGGTGGGCTGGCTTGGGGCCAGGCATGTCTGCCCTCTGGGCCTCAGCTTCTTCACCAGACCCTGCGGCTGGTTCCTGTGGGTGCTGCTGCCCGCTAGGGTCGTGTGGAAGGCTGAGGCAGTGGGCGGAGACCTGATAAAAGCGGAAGCTCTGTGGAAGCACACGTGTTTGTTTTTTCACTCATGAACATCTTGGCGCCGTGCATTTGGCTCTGCCTGATTTTGAGGACGGAGCTTGGGTGGCAATGTTTTGCAAAGCTGCATGTCAGCACAGTGGGTTCCAAACAGCAATGTGGCTTTGTCTCTCTGTTGTCATGTCTGGATGTACACACTCTGCTTGTTTGGTGTCTGTTGGGCACGGTCACTGGAGACCCTCCTGGAGAGTCATGGCGGCATGTCCAACCAGGACACTGTCGGGCTGAACCGAGACCCGAGCTCCCACTGGGACACTGTCGGGCTGAACCGAGACCCGAGCTCCCACTGGGACGCTGTCGGGCTGAACCGAGACCCGAGCTCCCACCGGGACACTGTCGGGCTGAACCGAGACCCGAGCTCCCACCGGGACACTGATGGGCTGAACCGAGACCCGAGCTCCCACTGGGACACTGATGGGCTGAACCGAGACCCGAGCTCCCACTGGGACGCTGTGGGGCTGAACCGAGACCCGAGCTCCCACCGGGACACTGACGGGCTGAACCGAGACCCGAGCTCCCACTGGGACGCTGACGGGCTGAACCGAGACCTGAGCTGCCAGCATGTAAAGAAGTTAGAAACCAGTTGCCGTGGAGTTGACCCCGACTCATGGCGCCCCCACGGGTGTCAGAGTTGAACTGGGCTCCATAGGGTTTTCAGTGGTTGATTTTTCAGACGTAGATTTCCAGGTCTTTCTTCTGAGGTGCTTCTGGGTGGCCTCAAATCGCCAACCTTTCAGTTAGCCTTCGAGCACTTTAACTGTTTGCACCACCCAGGACTCCCTGAAGCTAGGTAGGATGAATTGCATCAGAAAGATTCTGGCTCAAGGGACTAACTGCTGAGAAGGTACAACAAAGGTAGTCAGCACGTACCAGCGTCTGCTCTGCGAGAAGTGTCAGAGGTTTGGTTTTCCTGCCGCACTGCCATGCAGCTGAGGATGAAAAGGAAGTCTCCTTTCTGATAGATTATTCTCTGAGGCTGTGACCTGAGCCTCAGAAGCCTTGTGCGCTCTGGTCAGTTTCTTGAGATGTGAGATGGAGGAGCCGAGGGGGGGATCCACGAGGGCCCGAGCCCAAGAGGACGCCCTCCCTTCGTGGGCGCGCTGTGCGCCGCGCAGCTCCTGTGTGCTCTGTAGGTATGTGGGCAGCAGCCTGTCTGTGCTCACAGGTGGACATCATCAGCCGCAGTGGGGAGAAGGTTCCGGTCTCCGTGTGGATGAAGAGGATACGGCAGGAGCGTGGCCGCTGCTGCGTGGTGGTGCTGGAGCCCGTGGAGAGGGTCTCGGCCTGCGTCTCCTTCCAGCGCGACGTGAGTGCGCTCAGTGCCTCGGCGGCCACCTTGGCCAACCCCAGCTCCTCTGCTGACCCAGCTGGGAGCAAGGGGGGGGTCTTATTGACTGTGTGTGCTCGGGCAAGGGACGGGGTCTCCCTGAGTCTCCCCGCTCCTCACGCCTTGGTTTCCTTCCTCCCTTCTCAACTACCAGTCTCCACTTTATCCACGCTTTTTTAAAAAATTGTGGTAAAATACATACAACGTAAAAATCGACATTTAAGCCATTTTCAAGCGGACGACCCAGTGGCAGTCATCACACCCGCAGCGTGGTGTAGCCGTCACTGCTGTGTGTCCCCATAGCTTCTCATCACCCCGACAGAAACTCTGCACCCCTTCAGCGATACCCCCGGCCGCCCCTGCCCGCGACGACCTCCGATCTCTTTCTGTCTCTGCGTTTCCCGTTCCAGGCGTTTCTGTCAGTCGGCCGGGCGGTACTTGTCCTTCTGTGTCTGACCTCACTCAACGTCGGGCCTTCAAGGGTTACCCACGTCATAGCACATGTCAGCTGTATCCATACTTTTGAAACGGATGCTTAATTCAAGCATTGCTTATGTTCACACTTACTTTTTCCGTATTACACTGAGAACAAAAGTAGAGCCCTCACCTGCCTCACCAGCCAGCCTCTGCTCCACAACAGCACCGCTGTTGGCAGTGGTGGGCGCCAGAGACAGGGTCTAGGGTTCTGCTGAGCTGGGTAAGGTGGGGGATGGGGGCATGGTAGACGCCATGTGGCTGGGGCAGCCGGGAGTCAGAGTCTCCCCAGGAGCCGGATGCCCAGGGCTCAGCGTCCTCCATGGACAGGGCTGCCCGGCCCCGCGGTGCTGTCATGACAGCCAGGTGCATGGCCCTCATTGCTCCCCGGGATATGTGTCCAGGAGGGAGCACAGCTGCCCCAAGTCCCTTGGGAATCTGCCACTGCTTGCCCATTGTCTGCCCCCGTGAGAGTGTCTCCCAGCCCCAGCCACCTGCCGCTCTCTCACACCTGTGGGGCACAGAGGGGTGTTAGTGGTCTCGCCGCCAGCTTGAGGGTATGCAGGCTTAGTGGAGACTTCCACTCTGAGGCTTAACCACTGCCTTCTCTTGAAGGGGACCATCACGTCATGTGACAGCCTCTTTGCGCATCTCCACGGCTACGCGTCCGGGGAGGAAGTGGCTGGGCAGCGCATCACAGACCTGATTCCTTCCGTGCAGATCCCTCCCCCTGGCGAGCACATCCCAAAGGTGGGTGCTGATGTGGCCTGGGGCAGAGGTGGCACTGCAGCGAGTGCCAGTTAGGGCTCATGCTTCAGGTCGCGTTCTGTGTGCAGCCATCGGTCTGTGCTGGCGTGCCGCGGCTGGCTCGCCGTGTGCGGCGGCTGCCTC